GCACCCCTTAGACCGCTCCCCCGACACTCTGTTGGGCAGCTCAGAGCGGGACTTCTTCTACCACCCTGAGACACAGCAGTACTTTTTTGATCGGGACCCTGACATTTTCCGTCACATTCTCAACTTCTACCGTACTGGCAAGCTTCATTATCCCCGCCAGGAGTGCATCTCAGCTTATGATGAGGAGCTGGCCTTCTTTGGCATCATCCCCGAGATCATTGGCGACTGCTGTTATGAGGAGTACAAGGATCGCCGGCGTGAGAATCCCGAGCGTCTGCAGGAGGATTCATGCTGCTGAGAGTTCCCTGCCCTCAATGACAGCTCGGCAGAGAATGTGGCGGGCCTTTGAAAACCCACACACCAGTACACTGGCTCTGGTCTTCTACTATGTCACTGGTTTCTTCATTGCCGTCTCTGTTATTGCCAACGTGGTGGAGACAGTGCCCTGCGGGGTGAGCCCGGGTCGCATCAAAGAGCTGCCCTGTGGAGAGCGTTATGCTGTGGCTTTCTTCTGTCTGGATACTGCTTGTGTCATGATCTTCACAGTTGAGTATCTGCTACGTCTGCTGGCGGCCCCGAGTCGCTACAAATTCGTGCGCAGTGTCATGAGTATCATTGATGTGGTCGCCATCATGCCGTATTACATTGGCCTGGTGATGACAGATAATGAGGATGTCAGTGGGGCATTTGTGACACTACGAGTCTTTCGTGTCTTCAGGATCTTTAAGTTTTCCCGCCACTCACAGGGGCTGCGCATCCTGGGCTACACCTTGAAAAGTTGTGCTTCGGAGTTAGGCTTCCTCCTCTTCTCACTCACTATGGCCATCATCATCTTTGCTACAGTCATGTACTATGCAGAGAAAGGTTCATCAGCCAGCAAGTTCACCAGCATCCCTGCAGCCTTCTGGTACACCATTGTCACCATGACAACACTGGGGTAAGTGCAGCTGGTGTTTGGTTACAGCCAATATTTCAACAAGTGCATTGGCATGAACGGAAAATACTCAGTTTAAAAGAAATGTCGATAGAAAAAATGTGAGGCTAAGCTTTTGTTACCAAACTTTATGAGTACAACTCATTATTTGTTTCTAAATGTTTCACGCATGGAAGTGAGGTAAAAGTGTTGCTCAAGTCAAAAATAAACCAACCCCCATAACAACAGATACATCGAGAAAGCAAACAACAGAACAAAACAAAAACAGTCTAAGAACTTTGGATTCTTTGCAGTTTTCTCTAGCAATTTATTTGGTTTTGGATAGTGCAATTGGAATATTTTATGAATATCTGTGAGTTATAATAGAGAAGTGTGTTTACTGACAGAACTTGTTACAGTGCTGCTAAAAATAGTGATAACTATAAGGAGAACCCAAGTGCAGTCTTTTAATTTGATAATACTTAAAAGTATGTGGATCTGCCATTTTGTTTGAAATGATGTATTGGTGTAGACTTGGATCACCAAGTGATTTTTTTTCATGAAAATAAACCAGATATAGATATCTTAATCTTCACAGAAATATTCCTGATGTCCTATTTAAGAGACTGGAGAGATTTCCTTTGATTTTCATGGACATCTAACTTGGAAATGACAAGTGTCAAGCTACACTGACTGGTGACAGAGTCTGGAAGATGATCTGAGGAGGTGTGAGACATATGACAGATCAAGTACATGTCTTAGAACATAGTTCTCATGGTGATATAAATTCTTTCAGAGAATTAGGAGTTAAAAAATGCCATTACTGACATCATACTGTAATGCATTTTAGTGGAAAGATGGGAGATAGTAGTATTTTATAAAGTCTCTGATACTCGAGTCATATTGTATCAGCTGATTCTGTGCATCAAGCTGTAAAACGCATTTGTCTGTAATTATAACAGGGATTTAGAAGGTTTACTAGTTTGAGAAGACAATTTTTTCCCCTGTTCTTAATTTTGAGCTGTAGAGGATCATTTGTGAAACTGAAAACTTGTTGATTCATTAGAAACTGTCTAGTTATTTAATAATTACAGATATTGAAAGACAAACTTTTCAGTTTTGTGAGGACAAAGCCCATCATTTTATTAGACAAACATTTAACCATGTCTTGTTGGGACTTTTGAGATTTATGAAACATGTATAACTTCTAAATTTAACAAAACAAAAGTGCATTGTTAAACTATTATGAAAAAGTTGATTTATTCTGTGCAATTATAATTTAGTTGGGAAACACACATAGAAAATATTGAAAAAGATAAAGGGACTGTCTTATGCCACCATTTTTTATACAGTGCTTTTATCTTCAGCGTGATAGAACAAATGAAGATAAATATAGTGCATTGTAAATATTTCATACTACTTGTAAGGGCAAGTTATGCTAAAAAGGAGTGACAAGAGCTTTGGGGATTTTAATCTGCTTTTTAGGTTCCTGGGTTTTTTTGGTTCTCATTTTCTTGTGGTAGTGACAAACTGAAGGGGCAAGTTAGCAGAGGGAACAAGTTATACCTGCTAACTAGTTCCATAGTCCTGTATTTTCTGATGCTGATACTTTTTGCCACATGTTTTTAATTAGTCCTGTGATGATTTCAACAGCTGAGGTCTTAAGAATTCACCAATATTTAGAATGTGTAATCTTAATATAAAAGAGCAGGAGAAAGATGTTTTTTGAGTAAGTTGTTTTCACTGTTACTGACAGTTTAGGCAGTACCTGTCCATGGTACTGAACATAATTTTGTACTCAGTTTTATTGCTAATTTGAGATTGATTATGATGCAGGTGTGGTATCTATCTGGCATTGACATGATTTGTTTGTTTCTTACATATACACACACACACACACACAGAAGAATATTATTCTATAGTTGCAGGTTTTGAGGCATTGTTCTGAGGAAAATCTTTCAAAGTACCAATGAGATTTGAACATCGTTAAAAATCTCTTTGCATAGAGCCTAAGAACCTATTTTCAAGTACACAACCATACAATATTTAAGTCCTGAGGGGAAGTAAAAAGGTTAAAAAAAATACACTCTTGCCTCAATTCTTTTTCAAGGTGGATTGCACAGAGAAACTTTTGAGCAGGTTGTACAGATCCGAAGTTTCACCCTCAGAAGTTCAGATGCAATTGTAAGTTCAGGTATCACTGACATCACAAATTTCTGGAAAATCTTTAATCAGTGCTAGATGATGTCTTTTTAATAACATCCTGATAACCATATAAAGATTATGTTTAAATGTTAAATATATGAATAATTTAAATAGAATTAATATAAGAGCTTTGAACTCTTTTTAGTTGATGGAAAAATTACGCAAAAAGAGAAGGGAATTACAAGGAAAAGCAGCAAGGGTCAGTGAAAGCTGATTGTTATTAGTACTGCTACCTTTGCTCTGTGCTAAAGCTTCTCATCCATTTACTAATACAGAACTCCCAGTAGTTTTTAATTTTAGTTTTACCTGCATTAGGGCTATATAAATGGTCTCTGTATGAACAACCTTTTCCTTTTAGCTACAAAGCTAGATTAAGTCTTTATGTTGCAAACGACAGTGGCACACAGCAGGTTATGTAAAATATTACAAAAATACATGAAAGCTAATACCAAATAACAGATTAACCTAAACTTGAGTTTTTGAGTCTTAGAGTCATTCTCATATTTCGCCAGATAGCAAGGGTATTGAGTAAGCGACCTTTGCAATTTGGGGAGTTATTATCTTGGAAGCAGAGCTATATTTCTCAGTTCTGCATGATTGCTGAGCAATTAAAGTGTCCTTAAAAAACATAGATTACATTTTTCTGCAGAGTGCCAGTGACTTCAAATATTACTACGTTTTAGCCTCCAAGGGTATTCCACCTATTAACTGTTCTTGACTGCTTAGCTCAAGTAGTGCCTAGTTGTACATAGACATACTATATGAAAGAAATGAATGAAAGAGAAGAAAGGAAGAGAGGAAGGGAGACTGAGAAAGAGATAAAGGCTTGAAGAGAGACAGAAAGTTGACTCTCACATTCACTCTGCCAGAAAATGAGCAGTTTTATCAGTGTTTTATCAGTATCAATTGTAGTAAAAGTAAAGTAGGGACAAGGGACAAGAAGAAATGAGAGAATAAAACTGAAAGAGATCACAAAGCAGTTTGCAGAGATCCAAGACAACAATGAAAAGCTCAGAAGTTAGGGGCATAAAGGTCAAGAAACAGGACAGTGTAAAATCTGGCAGAGAAAAAGCTCAGGTCTATTGAATTGGGACAGACAGACTTACATGAGGGCTTATGAACATCTACACAGTGACACAGTTATGTCATTTTCTGCTGTCACCTTATTACATGATAATCTAATAATTTTCCTTCTACTCTGTCAGTATCCAGCAGATGAGCTGGAATAACTGTTAAGATTTTCATGGTGTAAGGTTAATGTTTGTTCTTAATTCAAGCAGTCCAATAATGTAGTTTATGTTTTATACCTTAAATAAGGAACATAGTACTCTTCTGTGACCAGTTCTAAAGCAAATTCACTGCTGTATTAAATTTTTTTACTTATAGGTCTTACATTGGGTAGCTTTATCAAGCCATATAGTACTTTTGTAGATGAGCACAATGCTTTCTGAAGGGAAGCTTAAACGCAAGTCTATTAATTTCTTTACTTTGATTGCATAAACTAGAGATGTGTCTTCCAGAAAGGACAGAGCAGCTATACATATTAATTTGTTGTTAATTTAGCCCATAATATATGAGGAATCCCATCTAAGATATATCAGATTATCTGAAGACTTTATAATCAAACAGGTGACTGGATGTGACAACAGAAAGAATCAAACAGTGAACAGGGAAATAGGGCGACGGATTTAATTTTCCTGCACATTCTGTTCTCTCTCTCTTAAGTCTTTCTGCACTGTTATTGCACCCCTGTGGGCATATTCCATATATTTGTTTTCTTCACTTTTCTTTCAAACTACGACTTTCTGTGGTCTTTGTGTTCAGGAATATGTCTATTGGCATGGCACCTTTCCTCCCCTGTTCAAGTTTAACATTCATATTAAGACTCTTCTGGCTTTGTTTTTTCTGCTTCTTTGTTTCAGATCCCTCATTCATCCTTCACCACTAGAACAATTTTTTTTTGTTTTATCATCATTGCCATTCATTTGACCTGAACTTTTCTCCTAACAGGTCTTTTTCCTGACCTTTGTTTGATAGATTTTTTCCTTATGAGCATCATAAAATTTCCACAGCATCACTTTTTCCCAAATGCCACACACATTATCTTGTTTTCCTTTTCTATTATGAGTGCCTTTAGTTTCTTATGGGCTCTGCTCACTTAGTCTGAAAATACCCATCTCTTCGGAACTTGTATTAAAAAAAATGAGTTTCATAGAATCTGACAAAAAATAGACATTTTTGTTTTGTTAACATTTTCATTCAAAGTTTTAAAATACTCTTATGATCATTATTATAAAAATAAACATTAGCAAAGTTGGAATATTTTGTCTCTATTTCATACCTACATGTTTGCTCATTCATTCATTTTGTGTTTGATATTTTCAACCCTATTTCAAATAAAATTTTTCTATTTTTGTATTCTTGTATACAACCTGGTGAATTTTGTATTTTACAAATATATTTGGTGTCTCAATCTATTTTCTCTTCATGGCAAAGACATTTAGCTTGAACAGTTAGAATACTCTATAAGAGAGGAGGGACAAAGTGTAGTGTAATCACCTTCAAAGCACATTACTAGATATTCAAAAAGGGCTTCAGGGAGAATTGTAAATACTGCAAAGTAAGGATCATTTTGATGGCAGTAAAAAAATTGTTTGTTCTTTAATAAAAAGATTCCCAAACTGTATTGGGATTGTTGTTGGCTTGACAGAGAACAGGAGTCATATTCTCATTTAATTGCACTGGGGCCCAGCTTTCCTGTTCAAAAAAATCATGAAGATCTCTTAGAGGAACAGGAGTTATGTTACTTCACTCATTTTTCTT